ATTTTTTTCTATTTAATAATATTTATTTCAAACTTGCAAGTTGAGTTAAAAGTTATGGTAATAAATTCATTTTTTTTTTATTAAAACTTTCACTTTAAAGAACAAAAAGAAGTAGGTTCAAAATGATTACTTTTAACATATTAAAAATCAATAATAATTTGAAAATAATTAATTATAAAAATTATATAATATATAATTAAAATAATTACTAATCTGGATATAATTAAGGAAATAGGAGTTGATGTTGGGTTGGGTTGGTTACATTTTTAACTTTATAATGCTATAACTCATTGAAAAGTGTACGAATCAACACAATTTTTTTATGAGAAATAATATTTTTTAATAATCCCTTTTTCATTCGACATACTTTATCTTAATCAGGGTATTAATAAGAAACTAGCAGATAATGTAGCTTTTGTAATTATCCACCAATTTCTTAGAATTAAACACTATCTACTGATTTGCATCGAAGCGTTTCTTATGATAGTGATTTTAATCACTGTCAGATTAAATCTATACTGGACCCAACTATGCAACAGCCCCACTATGCCGCGACCCCACTGTGCTGGGTTTTNCACTGTCAGATTAAATCTATACTGGACCCAACTATGCAACATCCCCACTATGCCGCGACCCCACTGTGCTGGGTTTTTTTAATGTTAGTTTAATACAAAACAGTTGGAAAAAATTTTTTTTTCCAAACAATAGAAATGCATGACTCATCTCTCTGCTCAGATTGTTCCTTGATACTTGTCTCTACTCTATTGCACTTTGTACTTGTTGGAACTTAATCCACACTTCTTCTATTTTATCTCGCCTGATTCTCACTTGAGTTATATCATCTCAATTTTTTAACTCTCGAACAAATTTCATGAAATTTTTTTTTACACCAAACTCACTCGGCATCCTACAAAAAACTTACACCCCACCACCCTTGCCTATTCCACAACAATGTATCTTTTGTTTTCCTCAATATCAATTTGTTATTATAAATAGAGACATATTTATGGCGGTGGACTTGATATGATCAAACCTACCACAGGAATTCATTTGATCATTAAATTTTTAACCGAAAATTTTACTCGTAGAAGAAATTTAAAGTAAAGAAATAAAGAACAATATATAACATAAAATTATAAAAAAAAGTTCTTTAGTCACTTTTCTGAATATATACTAAAGACGCATCTGTTAATAATATTTAATTTAATTATTATTCGTATTCATTTGATTATAGGTACACCGGACATTGTCCAACCTTAAAGTTTCGTTTTGGAAAGCGATATGGAGCTAACACACTAGATATTATTAAGGTATCTATATTAAGTTACATTTATTATATAACACTAAAAATGTATGTTTTAAAATACATTGTTCACTCTTTTCAACAATATTATATTCCAAAATATGACGTTTTAAAGTTATGATTGTTTTACGAATGTCCTAAAAGATTATTATATCCCAGATAGTAATTACACCTAAATATTCAACTGTTTGAGAACAAATTGAATTGTTTATTTATAATACATTTCAATTCATTTTTAGTTTTTAGAAGTATGACGTTGTTGAAAGAATGGCGATATGTTAGATTATCTCTTAAATAAAACATAAATAAATTTATAGGAACTTAATGAAAATGGTGTGTTAAATCAATACAATTTTAGAAACATTTATGATAAAAATTGTGTATTTAGACAACTAGCACCTAAACCATGTGCTGAAGATTTAAAAATTAATATGGATAAAAATGAAAAAACGTCTAAAATAAACCAACGATATATATTAGGTTATACTGGTAAATTTGAATTTAAGTTTTTTGGAATGATTACATTTATTTATATAATATATTTTTTGACAAACATTTTGTAAACTTAATTTAAGGTTATATACCAGGAATGAATTTTCAGTATGGAAAAACTTTTTGTAGTCTTGCACAGGAGTGCGAGAAAAACATGCTGACCAAAATATCAACAGAACGAAGTCGGAATATAATTGAAAGACCTGTTCGTCTGTTTCCGTCAAAAATAGTACTAGATAAAACAAATAATCGTTTACAAAATACGTTAAACAAATATAAAAAAAGTAAAGACTTTAAAGGTAACTACAATTTTTATAAGCTGATCGTATTTTTAAGATTATAGGGCGCATTTTATAAAATTAATACTGTTAAACTAATAATTTAATAAGGATATTTGGTATTTTTTAGTTTAATATATTTCTTGATTTATTAACTACTTTACTTATTTTTTTCAAATTTTATCCATCTTTAAAACTTATAAAGGTATTAATTTTATTATTTTAAACAGCAATATATTGGTCTACTTATGTATGCATATATGTATATTTAACGAGCTAATACAATAACAAAGATCTAATTAAGAAAATACTGTTCGATAATAATTTCTGATATAGTAATTCAGAAGTTATAACAGTTTTTAAATATAAAGTGGAGGAATAGCGCAGCAGAGTAGTACGTAATGATAAAAGTAACATAGCTTTCATCTCACCACAACTCTATATTTTAGAAGGTTTTGTTAAAAAATATCGATAATTACATATTTTATTGTATTTCCAACCAGGTCTTTTATTAAATTTTTATAAAATATAACACACCATAATAAACTCATCCAAATTTCATAAGGATTAGTATTTTAGTTACGATGCGAAGCTGAAAAGGCATTAATTTTACCATGATGTGTTTTTTTTTTGTGTCTGTTGCCACTTTTTCTCAGCTCTCACTGAACTGATTTTGATGAAGAATATGTCAAAAGATCACAAATCGTATTTATCTGAAAACATAACTCTTGAAAATTGAAAAATATTCCCTCGTTTCCCGTAAATGGGGAAAATACCCAAAAAAATTACAATTTTTTTTTACAACTTACAACTTTTTCAATTTAATTTTTCTTGGTGAAAATGGCTACCGTATTAAAAAATATGCAATTTTTATCACGCTCATATTAGTTTTACATGTATGTTTGCTGTTTGTAACGCTCCACGCGCCACATGTTATTATTTTCGCGTACCCCGTCGTCTATGACCTTGAGACTAGACTGTCGTAACACATTACTCCACCCCGCTCATCCCACGCCGAGAACACTATTCCTGTATAATTTTATTTTCTGTTTTCGTACCCGTATATGCATGCGTGTCATCAATTATACATATATAAGTAAACTTTTATTCTGACTGACCAATAACGTCCGCTTGCCATACGCCTTGCGTATATATATTTATATATTCCAACCGCCGCTGTCGCCGTTTATACCTCAGTTATAACGTTCCCCCGCCCAAAAAATACGGCTATACCTAGTGCATGATACGTTTACATACTTAAGTCGCTTTACCTATATATATATATTCTAATTACTATTAAAATTTATATATTAACACGCTTTATTCTCATTAAGAGATATAAAGTGTATTCATTCCGAGTACGGGGGATGATTCCCGTATCTTCATTTTTCGTCACTACCTCCATGTGCCAGGAGTGGGTAATTTGCGCGCCTGCTGCTTTCCTTGGATGTGGTAGCCGTTTCTCAGACTCACTCTCCGGAATCGAACTCTGTTTTCCCGTTACTCGTAACAACCAAGATATTGATAGTAACTACTATCATAACATAAAACTAAAAAGTGAAAAATAAATATAGTTTAAAAAAACTAAAAAAACAAGCTTTTATAACACATCGAACTAAAAAGTTAAAAATAATTTTTAAAATAAGCTTAAAATAATTATGAATAAAAAATACTAGTATTATTGTGATAAAAGCGTGGGTATTTGTGCCATATTTTACGTATATTGAGTGCCCGGTGCTTTTTTTCACAATAATTCTAGTATATTTCGTTCATAATTGTTTTAAGCTTATTTTAATAATTATTTAAAACCTTTTAGTTCAATGTCTTTTAAAAGGGTGTTTTTTTAGTTTTTTAAACTATATTTTTTTATTTTAGAATATCTTACAAGGAGAATACACTTACTTTTATGAATATTATATAATTTAATTGGCATAGAATAATGCTCATAAGACATTAGAAGTTAAACTTTTTAAATTTAAGGTGGAAAAGTAACTTTAAAATTTGAATAAGTTTAAATTGCCAATTTTATTGATCGTCAATAGCGACGACCATTTGCCGAATCAGTAACACTTGTGTTTTTCACAATTAGGTTCTAAATATAAAATATAACAAAATATAAATATATTTAAAAAATTATATTATTACTTTTAAAATTCTTAACTATATAATAATTTCATAAAAGTGTATTTTTTTTAAATCATTAATTCTATTGGGATTTGGGCAAAGTGTCCCTACGGGTCCATTGCAAATATTTTTTAAATGAATTAAAATAATTACTATTCTGACCCCCTCAAAATATTCAACCAAATATCTCCCTATGTTGTTATTACTTACAAATTAATTGCGATAACTCTTACAATTTTATTATCTACTTTCATTTGAAAACAGTACAACTTTACAATTACGGACCATAATCTAAATTAAGTTTAAATATCAATCACTGTTAAAAAAAAAATAAATAAATACTGAATGCATTTATTCATCATGAAATAATATATATTTTAATTATTCATTTATATACTTCATAGATCATAAAGTATCTGCAGAATTGCCGCCTATAACTGGCTACACTGGACATATTCCAAGACTTAAAGCATCGCATATTTCTGTAAGCTTGCCTTTTCATCATTCAGCAAAACTTGGCCTGTCAACTTTAAAAGAGGTAACTTTTAAAATTATTTGTTATTGTAATGCGTTATAAAAGGTCTAAATGTTGGGGAAAGAAAATTAAATTTTTACTGTTCATGGGTCCTTAACGATATGATTTATTACCTATATCGTTCAAATCTCATGATATTTTTTTATGATAATCGATATATCACATTACAAAAATTGTTATATTTATTAATATTAGTGGTTAATCAAATTATTTATTTATTTAGTGTAAGAATCAATACAATTTTTTTACGAAAATTACTTTTTATTAATACTTATATTTTTATATAATATATATTGTTTTTTTTTTCGATTATAAAAAATGTATTATCTAAAAAAAAATTTAAAGTTTATAAATAGTTGGTAGGATATTTAAAAACAGCTTATTGTTAGTTAATTTAATATGTTTTTATAATTAAAAACAAATATGCCCTTAAACAAAATAAAAATATAATTACATATTACATATTACATATTACAGTTCATTGAAATCGTTTTAAATATAGTATTAACAATTATTAAAATTTTGAAAAATATATCCTTTACCGAACCACAGGGAGGATTTAAAATAACAACATTTCTATGCTTTTACTCAATTAAAATTTTGAAATATTTTAGATATACTCCAAGTTTTACTTAAATGATAAATAAAATGCTATGTTATACACTATAACCCAAAAAGTAAATCCGGACATCTTATCTTCTATATGTAAACGGCTCCCAAAGTAACACAAAAATATTATTTTTGTAAAAAATCACTGTTTTTCGTGTGTTATAATTTTATATTTTTAATTTTTTTTTCAATAATTTAACCTATAATTTAGGTTAAATGGTACAGTCATATAGATGGGATGGATAAGTTCTACCATTTAATTTCCATCAGCAAAAATAAAGATTTAAGTTTTTACAGCTATTAATGTCAATCCAATAAGTATATTAAAACGAAAAAGGCTACATTTAACAAATAAAATGTTTTAGCTACAAAAGCTTAAAAAAATTACAATTTAAATTTCATGACTGTAATAATATAAACAAACAAAGGTCAGATATTTTAAATTAGGAAAGTTAACTCTTTTTTATTTATTTTTGATAAATCCATACTTACAATTTTGACACACATTTGCCATAGAAGTAACAAAGTAAGCAACTACATTACAATTTTTTATAATTTCTCCGTAAAAATTACAATAGTAAATTATTAAACAATAATTTCATATTAAATTTAATCACTATAATAAGTGTTTATTCATGTATTGTACTTATAAATCATAAAACTTGTAATCAATATATGATGTTGGGAATATCATTTGATTTACATAATAATAGAATTCCTTTTAAAAATTAAACATTATCTACAGATCTGAATCGTAGCGTTTTTATGATAGTGATTCTAATCACTTACAGATATCATCTATATTTGTCCTACTATGCCTCTTTAAAAAAGTGCTGATTTCCTTTTTTTAATAAAAATGAATTTAACAGTACACTAAAGCCCAATAAGTATAAGTATAAGAAAGTATATCTATTGATAGTCATGATTGATAATAAAAACTCCGTGATTGTGACAGGGACACATATTGTCGCTGCATTAAATATTTAATATTATTAAACAAGTAGCGTTAATATATAAAATGTTATGTTTTAATGCTAGTATAGCCCTAGTAACCACAGAAAAGTAATAATATTGAGTGTTTGATCAAATAAATGTTTTTTTAGTGGATAATTTATTGAAATTTTATTAATCACTAACCATGGAGGTTCTTTTAGATTTTGAAAAGCAAATAACACTTTGATATTAAACACTTTGAAACAATAATAATTTTTTACTAAACAATTAAAGTTTTTTTACTTATAAAAATATTCTTTACTCATTACAATCCAACCGCCATAAAGGCAAAAACTAACTTATTTACATTATAATTTACTACTATCCCAAATCATTATTGAACCAGTGCGGCCCCCTTTAAAATAAATATACAAATTTTGTTAACAATGATTTAAAAATTTTAATGACATTAATCTGTTACAGTATAAACTGTAATAGAAAATTTATTATAGATTTATTTTTAAAACTGATTGAGATATTGCATTTTAAAGTTACAAAAAAAGAAAAATTAGTTTTGAGAATATTTAAAAAAATTAAACATTTTTAAAGTCAAATAATATGTACAATTACGTTTTCAAAACGGCTTCATAATATTTTCTTTAATCATTTTTTTACATGTAATATAAAAATAATCGCTATAGATAACTACTAATTTCTAGATATTAACTAATTGTAATTTAAAAAATAATTTACTAGATATAAAAAAATAAAACCGAAATTATTTTGATTCCTAGCCCTGAATATTATAAATATAAAGTATTGTAAATATAAGTGCATATCTAGTCAAAAACTGGAGGTACTTAAATTATTTTTATCTTCGATAAAGAGAGTGATATATTTTTGACAGCATTTTATTTTGCATTTCTTGAAAAAAACTGGTATAAAAAATACATGCTAAACTGAAATACCTCCATTAGTGTGTCTATCACTGTAATTGTGAAAATAATGTTTTAATTTATCTTAAGTATACATCAATAACGTAAAATGTATAAAAAACCATTTATAGTAATTTTTATTTTCAGGAAAAAAAAAATGGCAAAAAATGTTCTAAATAGTTGATTTTAATATTTAAGTAAGTTTTAAAATATGTTTTTATTTATAAAAGCATTTCAGTTCCGAAAATAGTTAACTGAACTACACCTTCAATTTTAGAATGCAGCCTTACCATTTTTTGACAAGAAAACATACCTCTGTATAATTATTGTCTAAAATTTTTTTGAGCACCTTAACCACTTATACCTTGTTATATTATTTTTAAAAATAAGATAAACTAATTATAGCATTATGACACTATTTGTTATGTTATTAATTAATAATTTATGTAATATAATTGTATACATCTATCAATGTGTAAAATGTATTAATAAAATTTACTAAATTTATTATTTCATTTTAATAAAAAATTGATTTATGACAACACATGAAATAAAACCACTTATTTCTGAGATATTATAATTTTTAATCGATCAATTGACAAAAACATACTAAGATATCATAAAATATTTTGAAACATTTTTTATTTATTTTACTGAATTAAAGTTTAGCTTAAGTATTTAGAATTTAAAACCTATTAAATATTTTTTGTTATAAGAAAATACAGTTTTCATTGTTCACGTTCAAATTTGTTCTTAAAATTTATCAGGTAAAACTAATTCAATTTAGAGATTATTTAAAAAAATTTAATCAGATTAAAAAAAAATATCAAGCTACTTACCTATAATTATATCCATAAGCATAACTAGACTTAATATTATCACATGACAAAAGTATTTGGATTTTTGAATGACTTTTTTCTTAGTCATGATAAAGTGAATTTAAGAAGGCTAGGCCTTTTAGCTGGTAAGAAATCTTAAAAAGGGGAAATTAAGTTTAGGTTAGTTTCTAATACAACCAAAAATTTTTTTTATGTAGTAATCTGTTATTAAAAATAGTTAAATTAGTTATGAAATGTTGTCAAACACCTCTAATCATTGTCATCCAATATTATCTTTAAATCTTTTAAGGCATATATAATTATTACTTAAAATAAAGTGTATACATAAAATATTGTGTGATCGGTAAAATTATTTTTTTTTTCATTCTACTCTTATTTATAGAATATTTTTCTTATTATTCTAAGCTTATATTATAATTTTTTATTATTTTAGCTTATAAAAAATGATTATATTATGATTTTGTAAATTAAAGAATTTTGACATTATTTCTAAGGAATTTCCGCTTAGTCAAGTTTTGTGCTAATTTTCCTGATAACCTAGTCAGCCCGATCATAATTTCGAATTTGGTTTTATGTGCACCATATTTTAAAATTAGTAACATATCAACAAGCCGGATTGAAACCTACAAGGGCACCGAAGTAGGTTTCAATCCGGTACCTTAAAACGGGTCTCCTATAGAAAATATTGTAACCAAAAAAAAAACAAAAAAACTTTGTCACTTATCATGATTAACCTAGTAAAATTCGAGATGGGCTCTGGGGCGTTCACCCCTCCCCAATCCATTAATCCGAGCATAACATGCAATGAGCTACTAGCCTATAATTCTTAAGAGTCTACTTAAAAATATTGATAAAAATAGATCGTTTTTGCTTTGATACTTACAAATGCTATTATACTTAATAAAGAACTCTTTCCATTGCCGTGGCACTTAAAGCTTTACACTCAATATTTTTAAAATTGACGACACATGGGCGACACACGTATCACAGGTACAACTGTCTGGTGGTTATAGCACTCTCAGCCGTAAATCACTAAAATTATGCGTAAATACTTTTTCATGTTTTATAAAGATCTAATTCACTATAAATGAATAGTGCACTGTGTCAATTAAATTATTCAACATCAATATCATACTAAATTTAATGCTTTTGTTGCTTTTGGAATTATTCAAAAATTCTTTCTAAAAATTAAATATTATCTACAGATTTGCATTGATACCTTTTTTATGATTTTAATCACTGTCAAATATCATCTATATTTGAAAAAGTAGATACATTGGTAAAAATTTTAAACTGTCATCTATACCTATTCCAATTATATGACATACTTACTATGCTGGACTTTTATAACCGAATTTGATCTTTTTAATAAAGTTGTACTTTATAATTGTAAAATTAAATAATTCGAATACATTAACAGAAAATGTTAGCCTAAGATAAGTTAGAAAGAGCATTTAATGAAAAAATATATAACTACATTAGGTTTTCTCTTTTATTTTGATATTAACTTTCTTTATATTATGCATTGTATCTAATAACAACAATCGATACGATTTGATTGAATTTTGGGGAGAATAATTATTACAAAAACTGATTTTTAAATTTTAAATAAATACAATTATTCATCGTCATCACCAGATCCCAACACCATAGAGATAAGGTCTTCAGTGTCAATCATACCTTTTTTGTCAATTTCCATGTTATCGAATGCGTCGGAAACTTCTTTAGGTGAAAACTTATCTCCCCAGTTTAACAGACCATACCTTAATCTAAAACGAATACTCATAAGAATTTTTGTAAAAATATGTTAGAATATAATTTTATTAATAACAAATCATACTTATCACTGTCAATTTTGCCATTTTCATCAAACGATTTAATAGCAGCAATAACGGTTTCATCGTCATCAGTTTGACCTCCATCAGACATTCTAGCTGCAAATAAAGTCAACAGTTGTGTGAAGTTAACTGGACCAGAAGCCTCTCCTAACATTTCTTCCAACTCTGGATCGGTGATCAATTTTCCGACTTTATCCCAGGTAGCTCTCAAATCTTCTTTTCCTAAAATGCCATCTTTGTCCCAGTCCATAAAACCAAATCCCTATGTCAAAATATAAGTAAAAAAAAATTACATCTAAAATATTTTATAAAATATATTTGCAAAATAAAAGAAGGTGGAAGTAAAGTTACTAAAAGTTACATTCATTAATCCGTACGGCGTTAATAATTCACTATCGATTTATTTTTGTCTATAGTTAATAATTACAAATTTATGAAAATTATTTTATAATTTCAGTATAATTATTAATTAATTAAACAACAGGACTTAAGCATTCTATAACTATATATATTAAAGTTTCATTGTAACTTAAATTTTAAACCCCAGGTAGCATTATGTATTAACTATTTTAATTATCTTAAATAGTAACAGTAGTAACTAAAATAAGCACAGATTTTGGAAATAATAAATTTTTAAATAATGTTTGTGTCTCTTTAAAAAATTTTTGGATCTATCGTTAATTTTAGTTAGTATGTTATTATAACAAAAATAATGACACTACAAAAATTAATAAATATACAGCAAAGCTATTTTTATATTATTGAAAAAACTTTTTTCATAAAAAATTATCATTCAAATTAAAGTTTTCTAATGCAAGAGAATTATTTATATTAATTTTCCATTTATTTGCTAATTATTTTTTTTAAATGATCCACTAATTAATTATTGCCGTTTAATATTCGAGTGTATTTCTTTACTGTCTATAGAATTACCTCTTTGAATTCAGCCACTTGTTGAGTGGAAAACATAGAGAATACGTTACTTCCGGATCTACGGACTTTCTTTGATGAACTCTTACGGCTACTATGTTTCGTGCTGGAATGAGATGGAGGTGCTTCAGGTTCGGGAGCAGGTGCTGGAGGAGCTTCTTCTGCAGGTGCAGCATCTTTAGCTTCTTCCTTCTTTACCTTCTTCTTCTTAACTTTCTCCTTATCAGCCTAACAAAGATAAATTTTTAATGTAGAAAATAAATTTAAAAAAAAATTAATTTAATACAATATCATAATTTTGAGATATCTTTTTGAATTTCTAAAATTGAGAGTTTTTTTTTTCAATTTTCGTATCACAGCTAAAAATACCTATATTAAAAACTAAATATAATAAACGAATTCTTAAAGAAATTAACACTACTTTTGAAAAATTATCGATACCTCTCTTTTCAGAATTGTATACGATGCATAAATTATTAAGGTGAATTTGCAGTATATGATAATTTTTTTTTAAGTAGTCAAACTATATTTTGTGGCGTAATATCATTGAGTATAGATATTATCTATACTTAACGGTAGTATTAAACTTATATACTCCAATTTCTAGCCTATAATAGTATTTTTTTGATTATTCATTATAAAAATGATTAATTAATTCATTTTTTTGTATGTATAAGTTGTATAGTACCCAACGCAAATTAAATAAAACAAATATTTTATTAAAAATAATGTGTCAACCTACTGTTAAAAATATTGTTCTATCATATCTATAACTCTTATCATTTTGAAAATTAATTAAATATAGAATTTAAACTATAATATAGTTTCTCATTAAGATAATTTTTAGCACGCTCAAAAACATTAAACCATTGTTCCGTTTATTTGCATTATAAATTTGGCAATGAGCCATCAGTTTTAATCTAATAATAAATTGAGCTAGTTTCTTAATTCAAAAATGTTACCCGAAGCTTAGTCCATTCAATTTATTATTAAATCTTGATTTCATTTACGCTTTTATGAATATTTTAAAATTTAATGTTGAATTTTATGAATATATTATTTTTTTCATATGCATATTATGGAAGCTTCATTTTTGTGTTAAAACTATTTTTTAAGGATAGTTGAGACCACTATATTTAGGTGACATTACTTTGCACGCACTGCCATTACTATAAACTGTATATCTATTCACATGCTCTTTAGTTTACTATATGAAAGATAGTTCAGTATTCAAAATAATCAATGATTTTACAGTTATAACTAACTTAATTTTATTTAAAGTAAACATTTTTTTATAACAAAAAGTATTTTAGGGTATACGCCCTTAAAAACACTATTCTTGGGACTATAAGCATATTTGGCTCAAATGAGAATTAATTTCTTTAAAATTGTAATAATTCAATAATATAACGTATTACATTTTTAGCACTATATAGTATAACTAATATCAACTTACGTTGATTTGAACTTAAGTCTTTTAAGCTCCTATATTATAATTATTTTCGAAACTTCATATAAATTTAAACTGATTACTGGAATTGGTTGACATATATTTTTATATAAATTTGTTTTATGCATTTATAGTTATAATTAGGAGATTTACTGTTTATTAAAAATCTAAAATAATCTTAAATTAGTATAATATATACTTACCATGATGAATGTTTTCTGTAGACGTTACTTAAGTTAAAGAAAGCGAACAGTAGTACTGAGCTACTGAAGCAAAACTGATTCTGCTACTTGAAACTTAAAAGTTTAAAAATATAACACATTTGGCCGGCGTAATACTAAACTTAGCCATACTCAGTCATATGTTAGTCTAGTGTGTTATTTAAACTTAATATAATCCCCACTTATTTAAATTTCTATCGCCAATAGGAATGTATTTTCATCTTTCATCATTAGGACTTATCATCACACGTTGAAAAAAATGTACTTTTTACCTCAGCAACTTTATTAAATGATAATTTCGTTGTAAATACCTAATAAAATTAAAAAATATTTTAAATTTTGAGTATGCCGTATCTAATGACATTAATGTTGTTGAGTCATAATTTCTAAAAATATTTTCCATTTCCCTCCAAAAAGTCTGTTAGGGGCAAAACTTATGTGAAAAATAATGAAAATATAAAATGATAATGTCTTATTTGGTTAAATTTATTTTAGAATACATTTAGGAAGAAGAAAATTAATTTTAGCCCACCGGAATTATATTTTCAAACTTTCCCATGGATTTCATGTAATCAAATATGTCATCAATATTGATCAAAATAGTTTATTGTTTTGGATAATATTATTTTCTATGTATTTTTTTATTAAGAAAGTTTTATAAATGGCTTTATTTTTAGAAATTAACGTACATTTTTTTATTTTAAGTTGTTTAATTTAGTTTTGGTTTAAGAAAAACCTTGTGGTTCAGTAGCTAATTTTTAAAATAGATTTTTGCTATTATGCATATTTATATTTACTGTTTAATAGAAAAATGGAGGGGAAGTATGTTAGTTACAAGTGAAATTATAGTAATATAGTAAGGAATTTAGTATATAGCTAGAGATACTGGGAGAATGCTGGCCATCTAAACGGGAATTGATGTAGCTCAAAATTATAAATTTTTTGTTAATTTTTTTTTTTAATAACTTGGAAATGAAGCATTTAAATTTTGGCTACTTTATGTCAAATTTAAAGACCATTAAAAAATATTTATTACAAAATATTCATTTCGGAAAAAAATTGTATTTGACTTGTATTACCCCGACATAGAGGTGAAACTGGTTATGTCAATTGAAATATATAGGAAATTCAAATTTAATATGGTACAATTACATAAATAAATAAAAATCAATATTGTGAATATATTTGTAGGGTGATCCCCTAACTATGCTTTACGTGATATTATTAAATATAATAGTACTGCAGTAATATTTTTTTTTATCGTAATGAATCTTAGTCATTATACGAAAAAATTGAACATTTTATCTCATATTTTATACTTGAATTTGATATCAGTTTTGGATTTTTAAGTGGTAACCACATATTATTTTTATTCGTTATTAAAAAAAATTAATTTATATTTTTATTTAACAAAAAATTGATTATACTTCTAACCGTTTACCACATCTCACCCCTATAATTATGTTAACAACAACAAAAATAATAGCATTATATATATAAACAAAATTTAAAATAGTTATTTAAACTTACTTGAATTAATAACAAAATTGAACGCAGTTTTTAAGTTTAAATGGTTTTTTAGAAAATCTCTTAGGTCTATAAATTAGTATCCGAAGGTTCACAAGTTAAATCTGTCTCTGATGATGTATCAGTAACACAACTAGAATTATTTTCATCTATGTTATTTAGCAATTCATCACTTTTTAAATCACTCACCTTATTTTCTAACTCATCCTCTTTTTTATTCTTTTCTAAACTTTCATAATTCTGTAATTCCTTCACTATTATTATCTCCTCATAAAAATGTCCACACCCAGAGAAAAACCTCGATCTATATAATCAATTCATTGTTCAATTTGATAAATATATCATTACTATTGAATCTATGATATATTTATCAATATCATAATTTTTTTTCTTGTCTTGAACAATAATTATTTATAAGAATAGTTATTTTGTTCATATTAATAAAACATTATCATAAACCCTTGATAAAATTTTTCTATCAAAATTGATTGAGGTTTTTCTTTGGGTGCAGACTTTATTACCCGATTTATGTGTCTCTTATAAAATCTGTCCATTAATTTATCTTTATACAAATGAATTTTCTATCTCCTTATCAATAATACACATTTTCTATGTGCTATTGTTGGGTTTAGTGTAATCCCTAACATAGACTCTGTCTTCCACTTAAGATTGTTTGTTAATTACATCCCCTTTAAAATTGGAAACTTACTTGCAATGGCTAAAATATTGTTGAAATAATGTTTAAATCTGTTGAACCGTGACTTTACAGATCTTATAAACATTACTTTAGAAGATGTTTTTCCAGTTGTGCAATGTGCACTAATTCTATAATATAGTAAGTATTTATTAATTGCTTTGTGCATTGAAATATTGCTATTTTTTTACATTTTTTTTAGACTTTACTTGAAAGTGTTTACTGCATCCTCAGAAATGATTAATAAGACTTTTATTTAAATAAAAGTCTTATTAATTTTTACGGAGAAATAATAAAAAATGATAAAGTAGTATATTATGTTATTTTTCTAACAAACATGTATAAAAATTAAAGGGTTGAATGCAATACTATATACATTTTTTTTTTATTTACTTATGAATAAATACATTGGCCTATAAGGAAATTTTATTGGAAGTAAAAATATACTTTTCTAAATCAATTTTTCGTACTGTTTTTAAACCTGAAATTAGATTTAAATGGAAATTATTGTAATAATTTCTAAATAACTTTTGGTGTTAAAATGAATTTAAATATTCAGAATTTAAATAATTTTAATGATTTACTGTAACTAAAAAAACTAATCAAAAAGTTGTTTAAAAAATGTACTCAATTGAGCGTATTATAAAATTTCATTATAATTGTAAAAATTTAATGTTAAATTCAGGTGAAACTAAAAATCATTTTTTTTTAGAAATTATTTATATAGCAACATGTTACCGAAAAATTTGAAATATAATAGACTGGTAGTAACACACACAAACAAAGTTAAAAAATTCATTTATTATTAAGTAAAATTATTTAATTTTGTAATTGAACCTTTTATCATATTAAACCTAATTCGACAATAAATACTTTAAAAACATTAAAAATGAATGATTTAAAATGTCTATATGAAGAATGTGGGCTAAGTAACTTTTTAATTGAAATAAGTGGAAATTTTTTCAATTTTTGAATGTATCGTCAAAAAAAGTTGAGAGCTGAGAAAATAAATGAGAGCCATAAAAAAAATCACATTGTAGAAAAAATTTTAATATGAATAAGAAATTTCTTCAAACAAGGAGAGACTACATTGATGGAGTCCTTGATATTCATTGAATCTAAATTAGATAAAAATCTAATGAGTTAAAAACTTTTGCAAGGTATTTTAAAATAAAATAAAATATGAAATTAAGAATTTAACACAAAAATAGCATACGGTAGTCATTTTCACCATTAAGATAAAATNGATAAAAATCTAATGAGTTAAAAACTTTTGCAAGGTATTTTAAAATAAAATAAAATATGAAATTAAGAATTTAACACAAAAATAGCATACGGTAGCCATTTTCACCATTAAGATAAAATAAAGTTCGACATTTGTTTTTCCATAATAATGTAAATTATATAATATATATTATATATTTTTTTCAATTTTTAGGGACAATATTTTCAACTAGATACATTTTGTGATATTTTGACGTATCGTTGACAGAAATCAGTTCAATGAGTATTGAGAAAAAGTAGTAACAATCTCAAAAAAAAAAAGAACAATAAACACATCATGGTAAAATTAATATCGTCTCAGCTTCGTATTGAAACTAAAAAGTTATGGTAAAAAGTACCTTTTTTTATTATTAATTTTGTATATATCAGCTTTAAAGTACCAATACATTTAATTAAAATTATAAATTAATTAGTTTATAAATATTTCTTTTAAAATTACCTCGAAAGTTTATTTTTTACAGAGCGATCTGAATAATTCGTTGTCCCAGAATGTATGTAAACCATTTAGTTCCTCAACCCTTAAGAGTGTGGCCACCAAAACAATTTAAGTTCTTTTTGTTTATATGTTTGTGAAAACTTATGATTTCAATGGACATTGGAAGTACCTAATAACATTGCAACAGCGGATTTTGTCGGTTTAGTATTTTGCAATGTTGGGTATTCACAGCAAATTCAAGGGATTTTCCATTAATCCATACTCTTTATATATGTATATCATTTTAAAGAAAATAAATAAAGAATTTATGCAAATTTATTTATAGGCAATACCAATTATCTATTAGTCAATAAGCTAACTTCAACATATATTAGATTACTGTAGTTTTTAAGGCAATTTTAATTATAATAGTATTCAAATTATAACTGAACTTGAAATAGGATTTAGGATTGCTATAGAACTTGTGATGACAGAGACCAGCTATACTGGTTACTGGTTTCATTTTGTTTGAGTAAGCAATCTTCAAAAAATTAAAAAAAGAAAAACAAAGTAAAATAAATAAATATTTTTTAGAGCATTATTCATTACATTAGGAACCACCAGCTGTTATATTTGTTTTATTTGCACCAATGAAAATGCAAAGCGACTTTTACGAATGGTATAAATTGGTATTTATTGATTTTGAATTAAAATTTCATTTGTAAGAATCAAACATGAAAACATCCATAAGAAAAAAATGTTAAAAATTCATTATTTTAGTTTGCATGAACTTATTTAAATAATATAGAAATTAATAAACTTATAATTAAATTCATTAAATTTAAATTTAACGAAGGTTAAGTATTATTAAACTTTCAAAAATGTTTACTTTATGCAATTAATGATTTAATAATGCTTTTAAAATTAACTAGAATTTGTTTCTCACCAAACCAAAAGTGGCTAAATAAAAAATGATGATACATTAATATTCAATACATTTTAAAATGTATGACTATTTATTAAGCAAACTAAATAACACTAAATGTTATTAGATCATTGGTAGATTAAAGAATGTTAAGGTGACTTTTTAATTATAATTTATAATTGTGGAATAGATATAATATTTAGATTATCATCATTATGGTTTCATATTTTTTGAACAAATATGTTTTAATAACTAGATCCAATAAAAATGTATATTTTTTCCGTTACTATTTTACATAAATTAACATTTGTTCCAAAAACTTTATGCTCCAAGTTCTATTTGATCCATTAAACTTTTGTTTTATCAAATTTGCTTAACAAAAATTTTCAACCCCAATTTTATCATAATATAATTGTAATTAAAACGAATTTTTATACTATTATCATAGATAAGATCTTATCTTATCACGACTGTGTTATTATAATATTAAGAAATATGGAATTTGGTAGAAGTGAAGTGTCATCCGAATATTGTTGATAAACAAAGGAAAAGCGAGGGAAATAAATGTTAAATTTAAGTAGTTATAAATACAGTACATTTAGAGATTTAGATTTCCTAATTTTGCTGTACTTCAAAAAAATTAACTATTTCGTCTTTAGTAAAGCTTCAATATCCGATTTTTACATATATAATCTATAAGTTCATTTAAGTCATCCGTTCATTGTAACTATTTCTGCTTAGTGTAAATTTTCAAAAATGATTAACTGGACATCAGATTATTACAATGAAAACAAAAGTGATTGCCAAAAAATATTAAAGACTCCAGAAAATTGGGAAAAGGTAAATATTTTAACTTTAACTAAATTTTTATAATAAAACTTCGGAAATTGTGTGTATTTTATGATCAAATTAGCATGGCATGACTAAATGCCTCTCGTCATGTTATGTCTAATTTGATTAATTTTTAGTCTTATTGCTATAATTAGTAAATTAATAGGCAAGAAATTATAGCTTTAAAAGAAAAAATTTTATTTGCATTACTTGGACTCTAAAGCACAAATTTTAATAAAAAAAAAAAAAAAGTTATCAAATATTTTATATTTCGGTTTTGTTAAGAATAAATAGATTAATGTACTAGAATAATATAAGCCTATTTCGTTTTTTGTTTTATACAAAAAATATTCTATTTTCATTATAATATAATCAGGTGTGTATTGGCTCACCAGAATACCAGAAAAATCTCCAAGAGGCTCTTTAAAAATTATAAAACCTAAGCCCTATACTTATTTAATTAAATTCAGTAATTGTATAATTTTCAACCAATTTGTAATAGTGTATATTTTCATATATACTTAATTTATGTTACATATTCACTTTATGCATTTAAATGCTAATAATTTGATAATTACTCGTCCTATAATTGTTATCAACCAGTTAATCATGTTTGTAATATTAATTATAATTGATAAAAAAAGGCTATTTTGAAAATTTAATTAATATCTTGTCAAATTAACTATTATTTCCAAGCAATTTTTTATTTTTACATTATGTTTTGAAAATCATTTAGATCGAAGTCACATTTGACAATTTAAATGAATTATTCTTTAAATAGCTATTAAAATATAAAATAGTTAATATTAGGTAATTGATTAAATTAAATATTAAATCTTATCAACCATTAATTTATGAACCAGTGAGTTTTATAAGTATAAACATAATATTTTTATTCAAATTGAAAATGTCTAGTATAAAACAAAACAAAATAAAAAAAAGGTTAATTAAAAATGTATAGATATATAAATCTGACAATGACTATAATCACTATCATAAGAAATTCTCCAATGCAAATCTGTAGATTGTGTTTAATTTTAAGAAATTGTTGGATTATAAAAGCAAAATTAACTTCTATTTTTTGTTCAACTTCGGATGCCATTTGCAAATAGATAGGTTGGGATAAATTTTTTTTTTAACTTCTTCTACATAACATAAGCATTAATTTAAAATATGCAGTATTTTTGGAACACTTTCTAAATTTAAGCTGAAAAAGTTTTATTTTTATACATATTTTTGAAGCTTTGAACGCTTCTTGTATAAATAAATTCTTGTATAAAAATACGCGCTTGAATATAATTTACAAAGTAATTATAAATAAATTTTTGTAATATCTAGGTTCCTCTATTATTTGATCATCAGATGCCAAAAGGATCATTAGTTCGTTTTAAAGGAATGATACAAGATATGTTAAATCCTGAATATTATAGTAAAACATTTTCTATTTCAAACTCAATGACAAATGAAACTAGAGTTTTTCAAGGGAAGTTTCATTGTTCTATATCTAATTTGGTATGTACTTATAATATCACAGTTTACTTTAAATATACTTATAAAATATTTAATTATTTGTAAAATTAAATTTTTATATAGAGAATTTTTTTTTTAAATCAATACATCTTATATTTTTGAACAAATTTATTTTAAATTTTATTTTAACAATTTTAGTGTCAATGGTGTAGGGACATCATCTTTTAACTCTAGACTGGACTGTTGTATAAGGGAAAAAGATAGATACAAAGTAAAAATAAGTATGTTGAATGTTGGAACATTAACTAGTAGAAGTATTGAAGTTGAGAGAAGTTAATATTTGTTGTGTGCAGGAAACTACGTTGAAGGGAGTGAAAGCAAAGAAAATTAGATAAAATTACTGTAGCATCTACATCTGTATTTGACATCCACAAAATTATCCATCTTGGTAGCATTTTCATAGTAACATTTTATTGTTTAAACAAAAATTACATTTATTTAAAATGAATTATTTTGTTAGTTTTGTATATTTTGTTTATTTCTATTATTTTTTTATTTTTTCATATAACTTAAAATAAAAGTTGATATCTAAATATTAGTTTTATGCTTTATTTTTAGAAGCCCGAAGAAGAAATTAATTTTGATGATGTATTATTGGAGAGGCATATTGTTGCTTGTATTCCTATTCCTGGACTGAATAGCTGGGTAAAAAATGTCGAAAATTTAAATGACATTGATAAATCTCAACTGTATGTATAAAAAAAAATAAGAAGAATAGTGATTTAATATTTTACTAATAATTTAATTTTAGAGAGGGAAATTTTCCAAAACGTTTTTGTTTTGATCCATCTTTTCAAAACAATAAGAAAGAAGTTATCGTTTTTGTAAGTTATTTTTGTCTTTAAAAAAATGTAATTAAAAAAAAATTATTTTATAAAGGTTTATCCTGAAGACACAGATTCTAACTTTCTTAAGGTCAATCATATTATAGATATAGTTGGATTTCTTGATTTAAGGTCCTTACAATATGGAAAAGATGAATATCAAGAAAAGTCGCATGATCTGGAAGAACAATATTGCATTCATGCTTTACATATTAAATTTCAACCCATTTCTATATTTTGTAAAAATCAAATAAGTAAATAATTTTTATTTTTAATATTAAATATTACAGTGTATAAGCTATTATTTTTACTGAAATAACTAGATACTTATTATCTGTAAATTGTTAAATATAACAAAAAAATAGTATACAGGTTGCATGCATGAAGTGAAACAAATATTAGGTTGTGTAGTATGTGTGTAGAATAGTTGTACAATTTATTTATTTTGATTATGATTTTTAAACAGTCTTTTTTTTATAATTAGTGAAGAGGGCATTAGTATTGAAATATGAGTAATCTGAATTGTAGGATTGTCTTTTGACAGCTGGCCGAGGGCGACTATATTCGTAAAGTTAAAGATTTTATTGTATTTTAGAAATAATATGGTGTTTTATAGAATATTTTGTAATAATTCACTGTGTTATTACTGAAATTAACAGTGTGTGTGTTTTCTTGATATCTTTACCCAATAGGCTTTCAATAAAGTATTTTCTTTTTAGTCTTATATACTAGTACTTTTTTATGTGTATGTTATGTTATGGAGCATACAACAATTGTTTGATTCTGTATATAGGTAATTATTTAACTATGACTCGCTTAATAATTCTTAAACATAAAAATAATATAATTTTTTCTTTTAAAATGTTAATAGTATTCTTCATTCTATAGTTTTCAAAAAAAAATAAATTCACTTCATATCCCCATAATATTTTGTCAACTTTTGATTGTTATATAGAAACATTTACAGAGTTGCCTAATAGAATGCAGCAAGCTCTAAGCAGACTTAAGTCGTCTAATCGTTCTGCGAAGAAATATACAAGTGCCCTTAGCCTATCAGACTGATCAGTAAGACAAATTTTTCATCATAAATTTAATTTAAACCAAGAAATTCTAGTGAAAAGCTATCAAAAAAATTAGATACAGTACCAGCTAGTGCATTTTTACTTATAAGTGACGAAGTTCTTTTTCATTTGTTTATAACTGTGAACAAGCAAAATATATAATATTTTCGTACGATTTATCAGAGTCCTCTACACAGTTTAAAGATCACTGTTTGGTGTACAGTTTCTTTTTTTGGGGTCATTTTTTCAAAGATAGAGGTCAAACAGTAACAGACATTTCTGACTACTATGTGAATATGATGAGGTACTTTTTTCAACTTAGACTCGCAGAGTTTAAGAAAAATATTGACAAGTAGGGCTAATTGAAATTTGATTCCAATAGGACGGTACTACAGCCATTCGATCAATGGCTTTGGTGCCTTAATATTTCCTTCAGAGGGTACATCAATTATACCCCGAAGTCCTCCAATCTGGTTCCTAAAATTTTTTTCTACAGGGACTCGTAGAGGCCAAATTCTAAAAACATTATTATAAAATCTTAAAGACATAATTATTGAAAAAATCACAAGTAACAACTCGACGGTAAATAATAGTGTATAGTATATAGAACTTTTTGTTTGTACCTTGATGCCTGTGTCATTAATAAAGGTAGTCATATCATCTCCTAAATTGTATATTCTATATATCATATTAAATATAAAAATACTGAATTGAGTAAGTGTTTGTGTTTTGAAGATAATTTTTGTGCCCGACTTCTGATGATCTTGAATGTTTAATGAGTTTATAAATAAAAAATTATCTAAGAAAATGACTGGACTATAACAATTTTGATACCAGTATTTTAAAAGATATTAGCATTTTTATATTATGGTGGGAAGAGTAATGTGGTTCAATAATTCTTGGTGATAAAAAAACAGACCTACTCCATGCCTCTAGCCATTACTTAAAAATGTCAATAACTTCCAAAATACTAATTTAAAAGTTGTTATTAATGACCAGATATTTTATATTTGTTATGTGTAAACTGGTTGAAATTATTCTATTAAACCTATTAAACGTTAGTTATTTTTATTTTGTGTTGGAAATTTCTGCTATGTTGAATATTTTACTTTTTTTTACTTAAGTAAGAATATAATATGATTTCAGGCAATGAAAGTATTTGGAAAGAGGCATCAAGCATTCATAATGAATTGAAACTTATTTTAACTCAAGCTTTGTTAGGAGACTCGTTAGCTGCTGATTATTTAATATTTAATCTTATTTCTACTATGTATGTCTTATTAAATATTAAAATATTTATTACAGGGTCGTATTTAAAACTCTATTTGGATTAAGGCGATTGGTTTAATAATTTTATTACATATTAGAAATAAAAATTTTGCTAAAAAAAAAATTACCAAAAAAAAGTCTTTGGAAGCTTATTCCATTAATACCAACTTCATAAAAGTAGATGGTACTGGTCCATCAATGGCAAGAACCCTCCCTATAAAATACGCCTCTGATATATTAAATAATAAATTGACTAAATTAAAACTATATTTTGTGCGAAATGATTTTTTTTTTAATTTTTAGTTACAACAGACAAAATAATCAAGTTCCTGGAAAATTTTCATTGAATATCCATGGTATTCCTAAAAATGCTGGAAACAATTACATAAATAAATTGTATTCATTAATTTCATTATTGGTAGAAAAAAGTGAATATTTGTCAATTACTATACAAAATATGAATAATATCAACATGATACCTCGGTAATTAAATGTATTCATATTTGTATTTTAACTTATTTACATTTTATTTTACTAATTTTTAGCAAATGTTATATAAAAAATAGACTAATAAATGGTTTATTACAATTGTCAAAGAGAACTCATTTAATTATAGATGAGACTAATTTAGAACCTGGAAAACTGGAAAATAAAGGTAAGAGAATCTCTGTATGTTCTTAGTCCCCTAATTGAATATCCAGGTAAGGATATTCAAGAAGTTAATCCTCAAAGATTGAATATGAAAGGACATGATATCAAGAGAGTTGGTTACATGGATTGTCAGAATACTTCTGTTGTTGAGATGAAAAGGCTTAAAATAGATATTCTGGGCATCTCAGAAATGAGATAATATAGTTAGGAACAGAAGATGGTAGGTTAGGTACAAAAGAAAAAGGAATAGTTCTTCAAAGAAATATGGGGCAAAAGGTAACCCAATGAAACAATCAGATATAATCGATATAATGCACTTTTAGATCTCTTACAACCGAACTCTTCTATCACCCCTGTCCATCATTTAAGATAGCTTTTGCGCATTTGTACCGCCTGATATTATTTTGGAGCAGCACATCATTCATGTGGGTTACATATTATTTTTATTCATAAAGGCTATTAAGTTATTTCTATGTTTTTCTTCGATGTGATGCTGAGAAGGTATTAATTTTACCATAATGTGTTTATTATTCTTTTTTTGTGTGTCTGTGTACAATGTTAACTTCAAAGTAAATTATACTATGTAAATATTTGAAACATGTTTTAAATTCAATTAATATTGATACAAAAATTTCTAGAATTTTATTAATCAAAAGACCTTCAATCATTTTTTGCCTTAAAACTTTTTTAGACATCATCTCTAGTAATGATCACGAAATAGTGAATTATTCACAAACAATTTGGGTAACGTAAATACAAAATCTAAAGTGTTACTTATTGATCTAGAAATTTACCATATTAACCCAACTCACATAAACTGTAATGTTTATTTGTAGAGTAATATAATAATAAACATTTGATCATCAGATTATAAAAAAAATACTAAAATATTCCATACAAATTTTAATAAGTCAATAAGCGGTGATGTCATCAATCGTCATAACCGGTTACGGAAAATTTTCAGAAAAATGGCAGCAAAAAAAAAAGTAGTTCTTAAGTTCACTTAATTTTTAGCTTCGCATCAAAGATGAGAAGATATTAATTTTACCATGATGTGTTTATTTTTTTGTGTCTGTCACTTCTTTTTCTCAACTCTTATAGGACTAATTTTTCTCAACAATATGTCAAAAGATCACAAATCATATCTAGTTGAACACATTACCCTCAAAAATTGAAAATTTTACCATCGTTCCCTATAAATAGTGAAAATCACCCAGTAAATTACGATTTTTAAAATTGACATTTTTTAAACTTTTTTTTCTAAAAATTGCCANCACAAATCATATCTAGTTGAACACATTACCCTCAAAAATTGAAAATTTTACCATCGTTCCCTATAAATAGTGAAAATCACCCAATAAATTACGATTTTTAAAATTGACATTTTTTAAACTTTTTTTTCTAAAAATTGCCATAACTTATTGAAAAATGAACGAATCAAAATAATTCTATTTTATATTGAAACCATAGATATTTGTCTTTCATTTGATACAAAGTTTTTGAAAATCTGTCCCTTTACCTGTCCACAGGGGATTCAATTAGCAACTTCTACACAAAAATTAAAATTGTTCAACTTAAGTTTTGAAAATGTTCCGGAAATACTCTGAGCTTCAAACATATGCTAAAATAAAGCTAATGTTATTTTCTATAAGTTAAAAAAAAAAATTAGTACCGACAACTTAACTTCTATGTGAAAATGGTTGCTGTAGATAAAAAACATGCAATTTTGATGTTAAAATTTACGATTTCATATTTTATTTTACAATCAACAATTTTTAAAAAACATATTTGATATTATCTACCACTATTTTTTTGTTGAAGTACTTGAATGCAAATGTCATACTATCACTTAATGATTATCGAACAATAATAATAACACTCTCCCAATATTGGGCAGTTTTATACATTAAGGATTATATTAATGTATATATTTGGAAATTTTGAGGGATGATATCATACTTGAATAATCAACTAATAAATTTTAAAATCCATAGTTATGTATTTGTTGATTTACTGTGTATTATTTTTTAAAGGAATGTTAAATCTTCAAGCTTTGAACGATATTATTTGTAATCAGCAAATTAAATATGATTTTACCTACTATACAATTGATTATGAAACTGAAATTTCAGTGTTAACATTATCCATTGGAAAGTCATTATTACCAGTGAGTTCTCATGTTTATATTCATATATATTTAAATAAGTTTATAATTGGTTACAGTATGATGTTAATATTTTGCTAAAACCAGACCCATCTTGTATTGAAAATATCAAAGAAACAGTTGATTCAGCTATAAATTATTTAAATTCTCAATATTTACTTTTGGAAAAGTTAAGAAAGTATATAGGAATAATAACTTCTAATACATTCAACTATAGTGAAGATATTTTAAAAGTAATAATTATAACCATCTTAATAATCGACTTTTTCATTATTTATTATTTTTCAATATTTTTTGTTTTATATCTCAGGTAATAGAAAATGATTATGTAAATATGCGTAAAATTGATCCCAAAAATGTTTCAGCAGATGATTTACATCGCTACATGGTTATATCAAAGTAAGCTAGAATTATCATATATTTAATATATACAGGATAATCAGTTTATCATAAACCATTGGATTACTCTCAAAATAAATACAATATTGGAAAAAAAAATGTTGGATTTAGTTACATATATTTTTTTATTTATTAGCTAATAATTATTTTTTAGAATCATCCAACATAACTTAAAGAGGTATCAACTTTATTTTTTCAAATGGTAACATACATATTTAATTAACTTATTAAATAGAAAATGATTTACTTTTTTACCAGTATTTTGAAAGTTATTAATAATTTAAAGTAATGACTGGATGTGAAGGAGGGTGCTGCTATTTTTAACACTAATCATTTCCTGGTATTTTTCTTCTTACCCAATTATAAAAATGAACAGTCATTTTCTTAGTTACATAATTTTATATTTTCTAAGTTAGTTGCCATTTGAAAAAATAAAATTGAAATCCTTACGTTATAAGAGATCATCCAAAAGAGTAGTTTTAGTAGATAAATAAAAAAATAAATGAAATGAAAATTTTTTTTTTCATTATTATATTTATTTTGATTTACACAAGTCACTGCTTGATTTTTATACACTCAATAAGAAATGTCTATGAATTAAAAGCAATAGTTTTTGCAAATACTTAAAGTGGTTATCTGAAAGTTCATTAATATTTTAAGTCATTATTTAAAATTTTATTAAGGTATTAAATATAATTAAAATTTATTTTGTAAAGTTACTTTATCTAGAATAAATATTTTACAACATTCATTATAATGTAGTCATATATATTTCCAAATTATTTGAGTCCTAAGTTTAACAATGCAAGCATATCTATCTTTACACAAAACAAATAACTTGGTTTTTCAAATACATGTATCTTTTTTCTACTTAAACTCTTCAAATTTTAGGTATAGATAAAGTTCTAGTAGCTTAGAACGCTGTAAAAAAAATTGATCCTTTACATTATTATTATAAGACACTTCTTATATAGGTATAAACATAAAATTTAGCACAAATATAGTGTAAAGATAAATATCTGAAAATTGCAATTTTCTAAAATGTGATGCCGCTTTAGGGAGTTTCTTAATCCAACATTCAATCAATTTAATATTTTAATTCTGAAATCGTGTTTTAATTATAACAGTCTAAGATAGGTGACACGGCACCGCCTTTTGCTCTAGGCTGGCGCTCACCCGTGTCTCTCTCGATATCAGCCGTCCAGCTATTAATATGACAATCGGTTGTCATCGGTCGTCTCCCCGTCCTTGACACTGAGATAAGGCCGCCGCCGAATATGGATTACCGATATTGCGTCCTGTTCCGTTTTCGACGTTCACCCGAACTGGTGCATTATTTCTTTCTGCTCGTCTTCTTTTTCTCGCCTTTTTGGACTGCGTTTTTTAAGTAATTGTGCGCCTTGTCTTTGATTACGTACTACATAATTGAACGCCTTTTTGGACTGCGTTTTTTTTTAAGTAATTGTGTGCCTTGTCTTTGATTACGTACTACATAATTGAACGCCTTTTTGGACTGCGTTTTTAAGTAATTGTGCGCCTTGTCTTTGATTACGTACTACATAATTGAACGCCTTTTTGGACTGCGTTTTTTTAGTAATTGTGCGCCGATCTTTGGATTACGTAGTATAGGTCTAAAAAAAAAGATAATATGAGATCTAAAATAAATAAAAAGAATTATAATTATTGGATAATTTGCTTATTAAAATTTTAGTTTTCTAAAATGGTTTTTGAATTATAATGACTTATGATTATATTTAGATTAATCGCACTAAGTTCTGGAGAAAATGATTTGAACATAGATATCTGGGAAAAATGTAAAGGACTTGAAGCAGAGCGTAAACTAAGAAACTAATAACCTTAAATTTCAATTTCTGAAATTATTCATATTTTATATGTAATATTTATTTAAATAAATCAATTTTTTTTATATTTTCATAAGTTTCTTTTTTTAACCTTCAGGTTGCTTAACACCAATCAATTGTGATTGGTAATGATACTGATGTATCCTGTAAACATTTTAAGTGCATTGGTTTTCCATTCCCTTCTACACTGTATATTAAACAAAAAATATCAATCTTTAATAAATAAATTTAGTAAAATATAACTAGTGAATAACAAGTAGTGCGAATATAAATTAAAGAATATGATATACATACAACTATTTGGCAAATTTACTTTTGAGAAAAATAACATTTGAACTGGTTTTACAATGTGCTAACTATTATGCAAATGGTAAGTGGACCATTATTTCATGTGTGCTAATTGGTCATATGAAATATGACCAATTAATGAACGATTCACGCAAATAGCAGCAATAATTTTCACCAGAGTTTTTAACTGCTCACGGAGTGCCAAACATTTTTTCTCATTTTCGCGAAGTATTTGTTTTGCGATTATGTCTTAACTAATAACTTTACTAAGTTTAATTACTGTTAATTTATAAATGTGTAAAATCGAATATTATTAATCATAAAACTGTTATTTATAATTTGGAAAAAAAATTTCTCCGTAAATAATGAATAAATAAAGCCTGTTGAATTGAACCAAAAATATATTTTACTTATTGTAATATTTAGCTTCGGCACTAGCCTTTCAACTAAACGACTAAGAAGTAATCCAGGGACACACAACATAAGTCTAGCTAACAATACAAACTTTAAAAGCGCAATTTTAGATTTTGACGCGTGTTGCCTTGACAGAATAATCCACTGCTCTTTTATACAAACAGTTCGTATACGTTATTTGACGCATCAGCAAGTAGTATACTTAAATTGTCTGTAATTTGTCACAGCCTATTATTTGACGAAGTATATTTATATTTTCAATTAGTCGTAATGTTTCTTTGTATAACCTAGATTTTTTTGGTTATTATTATTTTTTTTTTATGTAAGTATTCGTTTTTTACAAATTAATAACAATCTCAAAAATAAGAGGTTATAGAAAAAATATATTTTGGTTTCTAATGAAAATTTCTTATAAACGAGTTTATGTCAAATTATTTAAAATTATTTTCTGAAAAGTTTTGCATCAAGTTTTTCAACTTTTATAGACATTTTCCATAGAGGTAACAAAATATACAACTACTTAATTATTTTTTATAATTTCTTGTAAAATTGACAATATTAAATCATTAATCAATATTAAATTATTGATTAATGTTCATCTAAAAGTCGGTTAGTCAACATGTTTTTTTAACTATGACTGCCATTTGCACATAAGATTTAATTTAACGTATGTTAAACTCAGACTCAGTATTTCCGTAGAATTTTTAAAACTTAAGCTGAAAAAAATAAAAATTTGTATGTAAAAGTTACTGCTTTGAATATCCCCTTTGTCAAAATTTAAGTTGAAAAAGTTAACTTTTTATACGTATTTTCATTTGTTTAAAAAGTCATGGCAACTTTAAGAAAAAATAAAGTAAAAAAAATGACGAAATATATCGATTTTAAAAATCGTAACTTTTTAGGGGATTTCCATTATTAACGGGGTATGGGGAAAATTTTTGAATTTTAGATGGAACGTCTTGAACTAGATATGATCCGTGATCTTTTGACGTATAAATGAAATTGGTCCCGTGAGAGCTGAGAAAAAGTGGTGACAAACAAAATTGATACCTTCTCAGCTTCATAACGAAGCTAAAAGATTTTAATGTAGTCTAAGAATGCATACATTTTTTTTTTTAAATTACAATAAAATGTTGATTGTATCAAAAATTACAAGGGTTATTAGATTTGTTCCCTTCTGTATATAGAATGTCTCAAGTCTAACTGATAACACTTTATTTATAGTTAATAAATGTAACGATTTAAGCAGTGTTTTTAATATAAACTAGTTATTTTAATTAAATGAACATAAAATATTATTATTACAAAATGCATAATGCTGCTTTTGAGCAACAATCTACTCACTGAGCTTTAAAATTCAAAACAATCAGTAATAAAAAATAAAAAAATAATTATTATTTAATTAAAACAAAAAAACATGCATTATAGTGTCAAAAACAATATATAATAACTACGAGTAAAATATTAATACGATAACAAATTTAATATTTATACTTTAAAATTAATTTTTTAAATTTAATTAAAGTCTATCTTTAGGGGGCATATGTCCATATTTAAATGTGAGTCTTAGTTCTCCAATCTGAGATACAGGTAACACGTCCGGAATCCAATCAATAATAAACGGAATAGGTTCATCTTGCTGAAGACTTATAACACCTTAAACAAAACACAATGTTTTATTAATAATACATTCAAAATTTTTATTTTGAAATATAAGGGAAACCTGTATAATATAGAACCTAATATTTTAAAGTTAAGATATCCAACATAAGAAATATTATTGTGATCTATAGTAAAATGTTTAACTTATTTAAAAAGCAAAAATAAATATTAAAACGTTGGTTGTAAAGTGTATTGAATTAAATAAAAATTAAGTCAACATTGTACTTTAGATTATAACCAAGCGTAAATTGAAATACTGTAACGGATAAAATGTGACAGCCGTGTCTATGTTTGGTCGATACCAATTAAACATAGGAAAAATACAAAAATAACTAAAAATAATTCACGCCATCATAAAGAAACAGACTTTTACCGCTCCTTATTACACTTTTTTTTCAGTCAACAGATTAAGATTTTATGCTTCTCCTCACTTTCCAATCTATGACGTGACAAGGAAAATAAAATGTTATACACTCCAGATTAATTATGGTTGTCTAAAGGTTGTTGTCATAGAAAGAGAATAAGGGTAACACTTATTTATAAGGTGCAAACAAAGTTTTTTGCAAAAAAGAATAATAAAACTAGATTCCACCAAGAGAAAAATTGGAAATGCAATTAGTTCTAAAAATATCAAAAAACGATTGAATGATAAATCATTTAAAGAGGCTAAAAGAAAAACAGCTCGTTTAAGTATGGATAAGCGATCGAATAACTCAACAAAGAAATTGAGCAAATAAAAAAGCTGTTAAAATTCGTATGAAAAAAACTAATAGACCATGAATTGCAAAACGTATATCAAAGTGTCTGCTATAATTTTTTTTGCTCATTTATATCAAAATGCCGTCCTTGTTTTTAGAACACCTAATCATCGCAATTAGCATATTTTATGAATCTTAATAGTAAAATATCTTTTCAGCTTTACATCGAAGCTAAAAATATACTCACCAACTTTTAAATATGTTTTTAAATCATTTGGTTGAATAGCTTGATGAGCTTTGTCAATTGAACAAAAGTTATTTTTATTATGTTCAAATTCTTCATATGTTCCATCACTAGTTTTGATAAAACTACGACTAATTTTTAAAGGCAATAATGATGTTTCAAAGATTTTTTTTACTAACATAATATTAGTAATATGCCAAGTATATTTGGTAAATGTTCCTAAAGGCAAAGAATCTTTCTTTATAAATACTGTAGTAGAGTTTGGCAATCTTTTCTTAGTAGACGTTGCACACATTCTTTCTCGCAAACAATAAAAAAATGTCTAAATAAATATAAAAAAAATGTAAAACATAAATAAATAAGTTATATAGATATTCAAAATCAAGTAAAGCTATAAATCATAACTTATGATAATTTGATGTGTATGTATGGGATTGCCGCTTCCATATACTCAGCGCCTCATTTACTTCTCATCACATTAGTCACAGGATTTGACAAGCAAATTGATAACACATTTAAGCATTTCACTATAATTACAATTTTATATCGCTTTTAGAAGTTAGCAAATCCGTATTTACGGATGTTTAAATACCGTATTTACCATAAACGAAAAATACTTTGTGGGCTGTGAAGACATCGACACATACTGATAAAGACCTAGATATGTGGTTATAGCATTTTAAACTAAACGTAAAAACATTATATCTGCAGATTTGAGCCGATACAATCAATGTTTTTTATTATCACTCAAAGTTCTTTAAATTCAGAATCTTATTCATATGACAGTTTAAACATTGATTTAAATAGTAATAAATATTCGCGTAATAATAAATGTATTCAATATTCCAGATTGCTTCTACAATATTAATAATGGTGATCTTACGTTGATAGGTTTGATTTACTTTTAATACCTACAGGAGACACAGGATTTCATTTCTTTCAGAACAACTAGATTTTCTTTCGTCAATGATACACGTCTCATTCATGTTCTTCAATATCCTTACCTATTATCGATAAAATATTTTTCATTTAACATCTAGATTTTACAACGTTAAAATTTGCAGCGAGATAAATTGTTGATTTATACGAATCATCCATATCGTATTATGATATCAATTCATCGATTAAATGTAAAAAATCATTAAACTTATTAATGCCCTTAAATATATAGTCTGAGTCATTATTATTATCACTGGCGATCGTTTATCCATGTGCAATCGATGTGTATGAATTTACTATCTTTAAAACTTAAATTGAATACAGATGTTCCAGGCACAGCAAAGTCAGGTTGAAATGGATACCGTATGGATAATTTAACATTTTTCATATCTGCAGCAATTTTTATATTAAATATCTCACAATTATACTTCAATAATAACATACGATAACACAGTATGATTTTTCTTACGCTATTTATAGATAATAGTAAAGAAGGAGGAGAACAAATTTATATTAAACCAATGTTTAATTTAAATATAGTTGATTGGTTGTTCAAAAAAATAGAAATAATAAATCTGAATTGGTGGGAGAAGGATGAAGAGAAATATTATTTTTGTATCTTTATGGAAAGAGGCACTAAAATATTACATATTATTAAAATGTAAATTAAGGTACTCAAATGTGTTATCAAATGGCTTTATCTATAAACATCACATACACTCACCTGTGACTAGAATGTAATAAGAGGTAAATAGAATATTGAATGAGGTGCTATGTGAGGGTCTGAATGGGAATAAAAAGGCGGCGGCCCCATGTACACACATCATAATTAATTAATTTTATATTTGTATGAGTCAAGCCCAATTATTATAAATATTAATTAATGTAATTATAAAACTAATGAACATTGCAACATAATAATAAATCCTTTAACTATATACATATATATATAGTTATGTTAAAAATGATAACAGTAACATCTATCTATAATCTAAACCAATGTTTCTCAACCTATTTACTGTAGCAACCCCCCTTTTTGAATTGAAATTTTTTAACGACCCCTTTTTATATTTTTTTATACATTCGCATAAATAGCAGAAGTACTATAAAGTATAAATAATAAATATAAAACACATATATTATTAAAATTATTTTTTTACTATAATATAGTTGATATACCAAGGATCTTAATGGCTTGGTTGTTGCTGTTGGTTTGAAATTATGTCGTCAATTCTTGGCTTTATAGAGTTTGTTAAGCTAATTATCATGGTTACTGAATTTTCCAGTTGGTTTCTAGTTTTATTTTTTACTGCTGTCAATGTAGAAAATCCATATTCGCACAAATATATGTGTTTAGTATACGATTATCGNTGTTCAGTATACGATGATCGTTTGTGATAATGGTGGGATCGAGTTAGTTGCTCGTTATACGCCGCGCCGGTAACATTGCCGGACCGATTCGCGACGTAATAATTGTTACTATAAATAATTTTTCATTATAATAAAATAAAATCTAGAAATACAGTCCACTCTTTTTTATTATTTAAATAACGAGTTGCTCAAACATTGGTCCAATCGAACCGGGTGCAAACAAACATTGTTCCAAGAACTAGTATCACATTAGAGTTCAAAAAAGAAGACGTCTAAAAGGTTAGTGAGTCTAGTTAAATATTAAAAGTGGCTTATTCCTTAAATTATTCTCCTGTAAATCTATATCTAATATAATGCAAGAAGATAATAACGAATTGGCTGCATTCATTCTACGTCGTGGACAAATAAAAGCGAAGCTCACTCGATTTCAGTCATTTCTGAGTGATCCTAAATCCAACATTATAACACAATTAAGATTAAGGGCCGAGAAAATTCGCGAAGCATGGAGCGAATTCGACGCAATTCAAAACAATATTGAAGTATTAGACGTTAAAAATAACCAGTTACAATATCGGTCTACATTTGAAGATTTATATTTCGATTTAATGTCACAAGTCGACGACAGATTATCGGGAAGCAATGCGATTTTGCAAAGTCGACAACAAATAGAGAGTAATCAAAATGAAATTACAAAAAATCATAGCTTTCCATTAGTAAAACTTAAACCATTAGAGATACCTACATTTACGGGTAAATTTGATGATTGGGTTACATTTCAAGACATATATTGTGCAATGATACATTCAAATAATGCATTAACAGATATTGAAAAATTTTACTATTTAAGAAATGCACTGGAAGGTGAAGCGAGCTCATTAATTAAAAATTTAGAAACGTCGTCATCGAATTATGAAATTGCATGGAAAATAATTACGATGAGATACAATAATACTCGTATGTTGATTCAAACACACACGAAACGTATATTTGACCTGGAACCAATCAATAAAGAATCAGCCATTAAATTAAAACATTTAACTGATTCACTAAACGCGCATATACAAGCATTAAAAGTTTTAAATCATGATCCATACAATTGGGGTGCGTTGTTATTGCATGTCATATATACAAAACTCGACACAAATACAATACGTCAATGGGAAACGGAAGTGTCGAGAGAGGACTTACCGAGTGTAGAATTAATGATGGAGTTCTTGAGTAAAAGAAGTCAGATGTTAGAGTCGGTCAAAAACGCAAAATTATTAATATTCAAGCAAAATGAATCAAATTGGTTGTCAATTAGAACTTCAAAAGTTGGAACGTACAAAAAAGGGGCATCGACATTTTTAACTACGTCAAAAATGAAATGTTATTTGTATCAACAACCTCATCCAATATATAAGTGCACTACATTTCTGGCACTTGATATAGCGTCCAGAATAAATAAAGTCAGTGAATTGAAATTGTGCAAAAATTGTTTTAAAAAAAACGACCATCACGTAAATCAATGTCCATCGCGAAAGTGTGGGAAATGTTAAAAACTTCATAATTCACTCTTACACTAAGAAAAAGAAGCCAGTTCGGACGAAGGAAGTACTCCGGGTGTTGCAAACGATGAGAATACATTGGTTGCACATACAATGGATGCCGAAACAAATAATCAAATAACAAATACACGGCCGAGCGTTGTTAGATAATGGATCTCAAAGCAATTTCATTACGAGTAATCTAGTACATAATTGGGACTCAAACGTCAGAAAGTAAATATACCAATATGTGGAATAAGTGAATCGAAGAATAACATTAAGTACAAAGTCACTGCTATTGTGCAGTCATTAGATAGTTCGTATGCAACGACTATTGAATTTCTAGTCTTATCAAAAATAACCGGTTCACTGCCACATACACCTATAAGTACTGTGAGTATTCTCGACAACCTTAATGTTGCGGACCCGTCGTTCAATCAGCCGGGTAATATTGACATTCTTATCGGAGGAGAAACATATTGGGACATAATATGTGCCGAAAAGCTCAAAACAAAAGAAGACCCATACCTGCAAAAAACATTACTCGGATGGGTGGTGGTAGGTAAATTATTAACAGATATGAATGATATCAAATTAAATTCGTATTTGTCAATAACGAAACATTAGTACGAATTATTAGATAATAAAATCGAATTATTTTGGAAAATGGAAGACTTATCTTCGAAGCATAATTTCACCGATGAACAAAAATTGTGCTTAACACATTTTTCCGATAACGTCGACCAAAATGAGGATGGTAGATTCGTAGTAAAATTACCATTCAAAGTAAATTGTAGCCAACAGCTGGGCGATTCATTCAACTCAGTAGTACGCAGATTTTTATCATTAGAAAAACGACTATTAAAAAATTCCGAATTACATGATAAGTATAANAAACTCCGAATTACATGATAAGTATAGAATGTTTATGTTAGAATATGAAGAATTAAAACATATAGAATGTATAGGCAATGCGAGAGGCGATAATCAGTTAATCGACAATAATAAATGTTTTTATTTACCGCACTCGTACGTTTTAAACGATCATAGTAGAACGACCAAACTGCGCGTTGTGTTTGACGGGTCAGCGAAAATCAGTACCGGGGTGTCATTAAATGACATATTAATGAACGGTCCTAAAGTACAACCGGACTTATTAGATATCATAATTCGATTTAGAACTCACAGATATGCATTCTCGGCGGATATAACAAAAATGTATCGACAGATATTAGTACACAAAAATGATCGTGATTATCAACGTGTATTATGGAGATCGGATCCAAGTGAAGAGGTCAAAATATACAGATTACGTACAGTTACTTATGGGTTGGTACCCGCGGGTTTTTTGGCGATGAGCTGCGTCAACCGAGTAGCTGATAAAACTACAAATACAAGATTAAAAGAAATGATCAAAAACGATTTTTGTGTGGATGATTGTCTTACCGGAGCAGATACGTTGACTGAAGCTATAATGTTACGTGAT